AATTTAGAAAAAGATACATCTTAGCTCAGAAAATTGTTATTGAATATATCAATGCTTTTGTAATGAAATGCTTCTTCTAAGTAAGTGGTTATTAAATAAAAAATTTAAAAAAAAGAAAAAGAAGCACTGTGGGAGCCTCTAAAGTAGAGTCAGGCCAACTTAGATGAATACAACAGAAAATCTGCTTTTGGAGCATGTAAACACTGAAAATGCATATCTAGGTATTCACATGGATGTCTCTGAGAAAGAAAACTTTACATAGCACCCAATATAAATGAAGCTTTTCTATAACCACCGCTGTCTCCATAGCCTTTACTGATCAGAGTCGGCACATGAAAAAAAGTGCTTCTCCCCCATGCAAATACTAAACGGGCTGGTTTATTTCATTCTCTCTACCCAAGGGGAGTATGTAAGACATGGAAAAAATTAGCTACAGATTCGGATTTGAAAAGAAGCAGCAGCACCAACGTATTAGCACCATATTTCACATGACTATGTTTTAAATGTTTATGGAGATAGGGTGTTACCATGTAGCCTTGGCTAGTCTCAAATGAACTCACAGAGATCCACCTGCCTCTGCCTCCCAAATGCTGGGTTTGAAGGCATGTACCACCATGCACCACACCTGTATTTTTTTATTTCTTCTTCTTCTTTTTTTTTTTGAGACTTGACCTGACTGTGTTACCAGGCTGGTCTCAAAGGCATCTTCCTGCTTCCGTTATACCTGACTTTCTTTTTCCTTTAAAACACAATTAATTGAACAAAAATAGTTATTTAATGTCAGGGTTAGGAGTGCAATAGTCTTTTTTTTTTGTCAAGATGTTTCACTGTGACTGCTTCAATTCTAGTGTTAGAATTCCTAAAAGCACTCTAGACAATGGCATTTGAATAATTTACAGTGTAACTTACTTTAATGTGATGGACACCATTCACTTTCCCAATCTGCTGCTCAATGGTCTGGACACAGGAAATACATGTCATTCCCTCAACAGAGATGGTAACAGAATTCACACCCATACTTGGATCCATTTTGACTTCTTTACATTCCTGTTAGAAACAATAAAATCATTAATTTAGTCATGGAAATAATCTTTACCTTTATTTACCTATTTCCCATATCCCCAAAAGAAAATGTACTAATAAGAAAATATGTTTGGCATTTTTTTATACTTGCTTAGGATAAAGTTTTAACTAACCTTGAGGAGATAAAAGAAAGTTGTTTGTATGGCTAAGCTAATTTAAAAAACACACACAATGGTGTAATAAAATTTAACTTGCCTTTGGGCTAACAAGATGACACAGTAGATAAAGGAACCTACCCACAAGACTCACAACCTGAGTTCAATCCCTGGGACCCACACAGTTGAAGGAAAGAATGGACTCCTGAAAGTAGTCCTCTGACCTCACTCACATGCAAAGCATGCACACGTGCACACACATAAATAAATAAAAATGAAAAATTAAGAACTCTCCATTGCCATTATCAGTTAATCCCCATTTTCTTCTACTAAAATACTAGCTTACTTCTTATCTCTACAGATATTGGTCATTTTGTGGAAATGGATTCAGTCAATGTGGCTTTTTATTTCTGGATTCTTTTTTTTTTTTGTCTTGTCTTTTTGAGACAGGGTCTCCCTATAGCCCCAGCTGGCCTGGAACTCCCTATGTTGACCAGGCTGGCCTTGAATTCATAGAGACAGATCCATCTGGCTCTGCCTCCCAAGTGCTGGGATTAAGATTTTCTGGATTCTTTCACTTAACATGTTTCAAGGTACATCAACAAGCTGCATATACTGGCATTTCATTCTTTTATGTTCTTGATGGCATCCATTGACACATAAAAGCTTTTAATTTTATGTAGTCTAATTTGTCCATTTTTTATTTGTGCTCATGACAGCAAACAAAAGAAGAGCTCAGAACCAATTTTTAAAGCTTTATTGAAACACAGTTGATGGATTATGTAACTCACATATTTGTCTTTTTCTTTTTTTGACTTTTTAAGACAGGGTCTCCCTGTAGCCCAGCTGACCTGGATTCCCTATGGAGACCAGGCTGGGACTAAAGGCATAGGTTACCACACCCAGCATAACTCACATATTTAAAGTGGAGAATTCAATAGTTTTTAATACATACACACACAAACACACACACATACACACACACACACACACACGCACACAGCCATCACCATAGTCAATTTTAGAAGATTTTTATTACCTCATAATAAAACCCTATCCTCTTTAATATATATCACTAACTTCTAAACCCAGCACCCTCAGTCCTAGAAAACTACTAAGCATATGCTTTCCATCTGTACCAAATTCTTCTAGTTATTTCATATTTTTGGAATCTTGTGACTGGTGTCTTTCTTCAACATTAATCCATGCTGTAGCACATATTAATACAACACTCCATTTACATTTGAATAATAGTCTACTGAATGAATATATATTTTATTTACCCACTTACTAGGTTGATGAACATTTGGGTTATTTCAGATTTTTGGTCTATTACGAATACTGATATTATAAATATTGATAAAAATTTTGTGCTTTCATTTTTTAAAATATATTTTATTTATTATTTTTATTTTATGTGTACGAGTGTATTGCCTGTATGTATGTGAGTTCACCCATGTCGTGCAATGCCGCAGAGGTCAGAAGAGGACTTCAGATTCCCCTGGAACTGGCGTTAAAGGCAGTTAGTAGCCACCATGTGGGTGCTGGGAATCGAACCCAGGTCCTCTGCAAGAGCAGTCAGTGCTCTTAACCACTGAGCCATCTCTCCAGCCCCTCTTTCATTAAAAGTGGACTTGCTGTGTCACCATATAACAGACAATTCTATACTGAACTGTCTGAGGAACTGCCAGGGTATTTTCCAAAGCATCTATCTCAATGCGCTTTCCCACCAACAGTATATGACCATTCCAGCTTCTTTACCTCCTGAAAAGCACTTGCTATTGTTATTATCTGACTTTTAATGTGTGTTTGGGGGTTGGGAGGGTTGGTTTTCATTTTTTGATAAAAGGTTTCTCTACCTAGCCCAGAATGGCTTTGTACTTGTGATCCTCCTGCTTCAACATCCTAGGAGCTGGGTTTACAGATGTGGAACACCATACCCAGGCTCTTAATTTTTTGTCCTAGCCATTCTAGTAGGTATGAAAAAAAAAACATAGTGTTTTTTATCCATATCTCCAAATTACTAGTGATATCCATACTTCCTAAGTGCTAGTAATGTCGGGTTCAAACCATGAGTCAAATCAAGCTGCTTCTTGTCAGGTATTTTATCCCAGCAGCAAGAAAAGCAACTAATACAGGCCTCTTTAGAGTAGCCAAATTGTTGACCTGGGAGTTACAAGTTAGTGAAATCAGAATAGAATGCCTGGACATAAGTGAAAATCGTATTAATACAGCTGGTTTCCCCACTACATCCTAATTTAAGTATGACAAATCAACTATGAATACGCACATATTTCCTTCTGCTTTCAATTAACCTGCTTTGTTTTTCAAAACTCTACTTAAATGGAACGTTACACAAAACTCCTAAAGTGTTTCCTCTTCCTCTTCCTGCTGTTACATATATGGAACTCTAATTGACTTTGGAATATATGTTATATCCATCTTTTAAATTTTGAATGTCTTAAAAAATAGGTACAAAATCAGTACTATGTATTATAACTTTCCATTCCATTTAGCAAAATGATACAGAAAACAGAGCAAGAGCATAAACAATTTCATATGGCATTAAAAAATGTAAGTTTGGGAAATCACAATATCAAAGAGGTAAGTCTGACATATAGCTATTAGTAATGAGTGATTCAGAGAATAAAAGCACCCAGCAACACTGCAGGTAGTTCTAGTTCTTAAAATATTTTAACCACTCCCTAAACACAGACAGCAATCACCACCAGCAGCACCATTTCTAAGAGGAAGAGCAGCATTATGACTAGATTACCATCTCTGGTACAAAACACAACACATACACAGATCCCAGAACCACTTCTTAAGGTTCATCACACAAATGCAAACAGTACTTTTAAATTTCCATAAAATAATAAGTCCTCATGATTTGTAATTTCTGGTTTCTTAATAAATTATCACATAGTAAAACTTTAATTCTTTTTTTGGACACAGTTATATCCAGACAGTGTTTTATCCAGACAGCAAATTAAAATCACAATTGAATATCATTTTGTCAGATAAAAATGTCAAAATCTGAGCACACCAAGGATTGCTTAGAATGGCAGGGTCTCTCTTATTCAGCTGGTTACTGTAACTTTGTACAATTATGGAAGCTATGTGGCAATATTTGGTAGTGTTGAAGATGTTAATTTAACAGAAATCAACATCTTCCACTCCTCAAGATATTTCCCTAGGCAGAGTCTCACTGATGTGCTCCAGAAAACATAAAGAAGTTAGTACAGTGGTTGCTGCCTGTAACTGCAGAACTTTGGAGGCAGAGATAAGAGGACTGCCACAAGTTTGAGGACAGTCTGATCTATATACTGAATTCCAGAACAGTTAGAGTGAGACCCTGGCAGAAATGAAGAACAAAAGGCGGGAGGGAGGATATGAATGGAAAGTCATACTGCAACAGTGTTCCTAATACTTAACACTTTGGTATAATAACCTAAATGTCCACCAACAAGTAAACCAAATATAGATGTGCTATAATATCAGGCTGAAACAACACAGCAGTTTAAATGAGTGAAACTAGAATAGTGATTCTCTGAATGACTCCACCAACAGAGCATTTTGCAATGTCTAGAGTCATTTTTGGTTGTCACATTCAGGGTAAGAAGGGAAAGTACTACTGGCAGCTATTGAGTAAAGGTCAGGGACACCACTAAACAACTCATGATGGAGAAGAAAGCCCTGCATAAAAATTTATCTGGCCCCAAATATCCAGAGCACAAAGGTTGAGGAACGCTGAACTAGAGCTTTGAGCAAAGATAAATCCCATAAAACCCCTAGTTGTGAGGAGAAGATTCAGTACACAAAAATTTAGAAACATAAAACTGTTGCTTTTATATGCATACATATATAGGTAGTACTCACAGTCAAAATGTAAAAAGGTTCAGGACTGGGAAAGGGTTATAAAAGGCTGTACTTGTAGAGGAATACATGAGGATAATTCAGCTACACAGGTATTCAACTTCTTGGGCTGGATAGTGGGCACACAACTGCTGTCATAGGGGTCCCTAGACTCTGAGCACACCTCTCATTATAGAGTTTTTTTTCTTTTCAAGACAAGGTCTTGCTATGTCGCCCAGGCTGGCCTTGAGTTCATTATGTAGCCCAGGCTGGTCTCAAACTCACAGAAATCCTCTTGCTTCAGCCTCTCAGTGCCTCAGTCTCTCAAACATGCAACATCATGCCTGGCTCCAGACTATGTTTTTTTTCTCTTGTGTCAGGGTCTTACTATGTAACCCAGGTGACCTCAAACTTGTGATCCTCCTGCCTTAGTCTTCCAATATAATAATTTTAAGACAAATATAAGGCCATTTCAAGAGTAAATAATGAAGAAACAGGGAATGTATAGAAATTAAAAGTTATCAAATTGAAATAATTTAGTGAGATTAATGATATAAACTCAAACATATAACAGTATAACTAAACACTGGGGCTATATAAACATACATGTTTTGTTAAATAAAAAACATGCCTGCTTTGTTAAACAAAATAATACTGACTGGTTGCCTTCAGGGTAGATAAACAATATTTCCAAATCAATTAAAATTTTCCTACCCATTTGCTTTAATTTAAAATCACTATCTCTACAATATAAACAAATGGATAAAGCACTATCCTGTTATTTTACATAGCACATCCCTTTTCTTTTAAATTATGTGAGCTTTCAAAATGAAAACTAATCCTATTAATCTGTTTTGAAAATAGTGAGTACTAAAATTTTTCTCCTTAGACTGTTATTATAGAAACAACCGACTGAGATTCCAGATGAAACAGCTGGAGTAGGTAGGGTTATGTTTTAAAACATAATTCTTCTTACATGGTCATTCCTACCAGATCAGGATTCAAAACCAAAAGAAATATTACTAACGTCAAAAAAGCACAGAAAATTCAAATTAAGAAAAATCAATTTGTGGGCCAGGTATGGTGGCTCTCACCTTTAATCCCAGTACTTGGGAGGCAGAGGCAGGCTGATCTCTGCGAGCTCAAGGCCTGCCTGGTCTACACAGTGATTTCCAGGCCAGCTGGAGCTACAGGGAGACCCTATCTCAAAAAAAGACAAAAAAAAGAAAGAAAGAAAAGAAAAGAAAAGAAAAGAAAAGAAAAGAAAGAAAAGAAAAAGCAACTTGGTTTGCTAGCCATTTTTCACAATGCTTGGCTAGTCAGAGCATCGACAAAAAAATTGTCAAACAACAATAACACACATACTCCAAATCCCTACAGCATTGCATAGCTGAAAAGACTTCACATACATCACTCAAACAATCCTGCTACATAAGTAGGGTGGCAAACTCCTTTCAAACAAAGGAAGCTAAAGTTCAAACATAGCCACGCACATACACCCAATTCAGGAAGGAATCCAGAGATACTCATAGCATCACAAACTTAATAGGGCAATGTTTTCAAAAGTCATAAAACCAGACAAACGTGAAGCAATGTGACAAGAATGCCTGAAGAACACTGATAGCCTGAAAAGAACACAGGTGGAGGACAAGTTCCCAGAAACTGATAAATATTCCTCACATCCCTATGCACCTTTCTACCAAGAGCTAAGCAACTGCTACGATGTTAATAACAGACTAGAGGACGAGAGCATGTTTTCAGTGAGTGTGAAATTTTTCTTGCCTTAGACGAGGCATCTTCATGGCCTCAGGAAGGAAGAAGGAAATATGATTGAGCTATTTGACATTACAAAAGAATTGGCTGCTTTTCAACGATGTTAATGAGTTAAATATGCAGCAGTTTTAGATTCTAATATTGGTAGCTGGAATGTTTTCCCTGCCCACATCAAAACAATCACCTGATTCAACCTTGTCAGATATAATTTGCACACAAATTAAGTATTTCCTATAAAGCTGCATTTCTGTTGTTGTTTTTCACATGAGGATCTAACCCAGGACCTCACCATTATCTACACAACCAGTCCCCAATACAGCTTTTTTCATGACGAACACCCACCTTAAAATTTTAGTTCTAAATAACTTTTTATATGACTTAAGACCGTCTGGGAAGTGTAATCCCTTAAACTCTTAAAGAAATATACTGATGACTTTACTCTTTGGTTACACTTTCAATTTGGGTGTTTAAGACAATACAGTTGGCCCAAATAAATCAATTTATTTTCACTCTTAAGGTCATTTGAGGATCTGTTCCTCAGAGGTCACATGGGCTTGGGAGGAGCCCCTGGCACGTTTTTTTTTTTTTAAACCAGTTCCATCTATGTGAAGATAAGTCAAAGTTCCTGGATGACTTTACTCTTTGGTTACACTTTCAATTTGGGTGTTTAAGACAATACAGTTGGCCCAAATAAATCAATTTATTTTCACTCTTAAGGTCATTTGAGGATCTGTTCCTCAGAGGTCACATGGGCTTGGGAGGAGCCCCTGGCACGTTTTTTTTTTTTTAAACCAGTTCCATCTATGTGAAGATAAGTCAAAGTTCCTGCTTGACCATGTCTGGCTTCACTTGGAAGCATGAATGAGATGTTTCCTCTGAGTTCACTCTCCTCTTTGTAGACTGGACACTGCTTCAAGTCCATCTCATGGGGTCTCCATGGCCTCCCTGAACTGTGACTCACCACAGTTACAGGACATTTTGAGAGATATTCCATAGTCCCCTGGAACTTAGTTGACCTTGGAGGGCAAGAGGCAAAAACTATTCTTTAAGTCCCTCTGACCACACTACTATAGACCTCAAAGCATGGCTGCTAAACATCCAATAAGGTTAGTTCCACCAGTCTGGTACTTTGAATTACCATGTGCTATGTAGATCAGGCTTGGGTAAAAAAACCAAATATTCTCAGATAAACCTTGACTCGATATATATTTCTTGATCTGCTATGTATAATTTG